ACGGTGATTTAAAATGGAAATCCTTTGTAAAATATTGTTAAATAAAATAAACCTTTAACTCGAAGTGCTAAAATATCCAAAGATAAAAAACTAAAACCAATAAATAAAAATTGCTAAAAACCATATAAACTAATAAAAATGACAGGCACAACAAAATTACTAAAACTTTAGCTGAACTTGGTGAAAACAGAAAATATGAGGGGGAAAAAAATCCAGTTAAGAAAAAGATATAATTGTATATCAGTGATACTAAAATAACTGCCTTTTAATGTTCCTGTCACAGTTTAATGCCTGCTTGCTAAATAAAATTTACTTTTCTTAAAAAAAAAAAAAAAAACTTGCTCTCCCCAAACTTTTGAACTGTAAAATTTTTAAAAGTGGATAATTTTAATGGAATCATTTCATTTTATTTGGTTAAACATTAATTTTATCTTGTTTCTCCTGAGGCTCTGCTCATCTTTGTTAGTTGCTTTGTTTCAAGTGTTTGAAGTGTAAAGTGAATGCGTGTCTGTTTCTCTCAGGTAAAGCAGCAGCGGATCATAACGCGGCCTGGGCAGCTTATTACGCACAGTACTACCAGCAGCCCGCAGGGGGCGCTATGCCCGAACAGATGTCTGCGGCCCAACCGGCCGCTCCCGCTCCTGCTGACCAGAGCCAAGCTGCTCCCGGCGCCGCCCAGCCCGACTACACCAAGGCCTGGGAGGAGTACTACAAAAAGATGGGTATGAGCGCTCATTCCTCATTGTGTTTAGTAAAGAGAGAGTAGAGAAATTCCTGTGAATGAATCTGCTGGCATTCAGGCTGCCTTTTCTTACAGCTCTGTGTTTTGCTGATGAAAATCATCTCTCATCTCTATCAGCTGCAGCAGGAGGAGGTGCTGCTCCCGCCGCAGGAGGAGCTCAAGCCCCGGGAGCTGCAGCGGCGGGACAGACGGACTACAGCGCCGCATGGGCGGAGTACTACAGACAGCAGGCTGCTTATTACGGACAGACGGGACAGGCCGCGGGACAGCCAGGCGCCACACCGCAGGGCCAACAGGTACAAACACAAATCACACCTCTGTACTGTTTACATGAGTCTGAACAGCCAGTGATGGCAAGTAGATTCAAATTCATATTTAATTAAAGTTGAGTAATGATGCAAACTAATTTAACTAGTTTAAAATTGACAAGTTAACTGATTGGCTGAAATTAAAATAACTTACGGTTTTGATGCTTTAAACTCAATTAAATTAGAAATATTAAGTCACATTATTAAAGTTTCTGTTTGCCAACTAAACTTTGATGTATAACATTCTTTAAATATTATAAAAGATATTAAGTAAATAGTATGCATTTTCATTTTTAATTATGCATACACATAGCTTTCAATATGACGTCTATTCATAATTTAATATTATAAATATAAACAAAATTATAAACATAAATTTAGTTTTGTATATTACGTACACTATTTTATTTTTATGTGATTGGCAAAAAATAATATACCTTAAGTTTAAGACTTAAGATTAAATCAAATCAAAAATTAAATATTAATATTAAAAATAATCAAAATAATTATAAATAAAGAACAATATATTCATTGAATTTAGTTTTATGTACATTATGTATTTTTAATTGATTGACAAAATGAATATCAAGTTTTCTATGCTGAGGATTAAATTGGATTACTCGCACTATTAAAGTATTTTTGTTTCCAAACGTGTATTATGGAAAATTCTATAAATAAAATGAATATTTTCAAATTATATTTTTTGTAAATTACACTTAAGCATCTGAAATACCAATTGATAATTTAATATAAACAAAATAATTATGAAAATAAAAATCCCGAGTGTAAAATGTTTGAACTTCAAGTATTATGTTTTGTTTTTTTTCTCAAGGTTTTTAGGCAAGGCAGGTTGTCATGATTATGTATAATCATTTTCTATTTTTAATTGTCCTAAATTAATTTTAAATCCATTTTTAAATCATTTTCAAAGTTTTTAAATTCCTTGTTTTATTTTTGTAATTATTTTTTGATTATTTTACTTTTCTTTTATGTGAAGCACTTTGAATTACCATTGTGTACGAAATGTGCTATATAAATTAAAAACCTTGGCAAGGCAAGTTTAAGGCGTAATTGGAAGTTGTGATTGACCAGTGTTGCTCAGTTTTGTGTTTCCATATGCAGCGGCGATGTGACAGTGTTTTCTCGTCTCTCTTCAGGCGCAGTGAAGTGACTGCTGAACTCTCATCCGTTCTGCTCCTTCCCTCCATCCTCTCACTCTCCTCTGACAAAAGGACTTCTGCTCTTCCCGTTTTGTTTGTTTTTCTTTCTCGTGTCCAGTTGAAAAGCTCTGTGACTCTCTCTCCTCTGAAGCCGGATTTCTGTCTTTATGAAACCATACGGCTTCTGTAAATGCTCGTTTCTCCTCCTGGTTTTTGCTGGATGCATAAACGCTGATGGATTAAACTCAAACTCTGCCTTCCCCTCCACAAACACTTCGTCCCTTGCATCAGTGTGACTCATGGCCAGGAAACACAAGGGAACGCTTCAACTAACTTCCTCACATGAGCGTGCACTTCCTGTTGTTGTATTGTTATTATTTTAATTAAGTATTTGAGGAAACCGGTACATTTAGAGAATCTTCAGGTGTAAATAACTACTGTTTCAAACTCAATGAATAACCATGTCTTTTTTTAATGCCTTGTGTTTTTGCTTTTAGTCGTTTTAATTTGATTTCGTGCTGGAACATTCCCACTGTTTTAATGTGTTCACTTTTCTTTCTTTCTGTTCATTTAGTGATTTTTTTCTCCTGTGATTATCAAATGGGGTTTCAGTCTGTGTGTCCTGTGTGCGCGAGAGTGTGTTCTGGTACTGAAACTCAAGCCGTGTGTGTTGCTCCTCACTCTGTGAAATGAGGGTTTCTGTTCTGTTTTGTTTCTTCCCACCCCAAGTTACTTGAAGCCATGATGTTATAAATATATAAATTGTATGTTTTTTTTTTTTTTTTTTTTTACTGCTTGTTTTTAAAATATACAAAATAAACATTACAAAATCCTTGTCCGATCACATGACCGCTGTTCAGTCTGATAGTGTTTTTTGAAATACAATCATTAGCGTTACTTTTGATCATTCTTCTGGTTGGTGACTAGAAGAGCCGCCCAAACATTTTACTATAAAAGGCCAAAAAGAACTTGATTAATGGTTGTGGGAAGAAAGTAAATATTACAATATCTACATTTTTTCGTTTTTTGTAATTTTCCATTTTATCTAATTCACTTATTCTCTGCATTTCAATGCCAAAATAATAAAAATGTTGAAATAAGATGGATTTGAATGGAAGATGTGCTTAAATGGCTTTTTTTTGTTGTTTTCGACCAGTCCTGGTTTAGGCATCCGTTTTAAGTTCAGACTATTAGACCTGTAATTACTGGCAGTTAATCAGGTTAGTTTTTCTGTAACGTTACTTTAGAAAGGTTCATTACAAGAACGATAACTATAGCTTTTAGTCAGGGTAGTTATTTAATTTCTGATAGGAATGAAAACGAGGCTGTGAGGCGCAGAAGTACCTTGCGTTTAATGGACTGTGCTGTTTAACAACAAATAATAAAGAAAAACTCTGGCAAATACATGAATGATATTCTAGAGAAAGATTTCAACATTATTCAGATCACAGCTGGGAATTCAAGTGCAAGAACATCAGAGAACAACAGACACTTGAGTGTGTGTCTGTCAGTTTAGTGCCTGAACAAAATCTTTTGGAGATAAACGCTAACAGCACAATATTTGCAGTAATAATGAAAACGCATACAAAAAAAAAAAGTTCTGTTAGAATGTGCTGATGGTTTGCAAAAGACTTGACTGGCATTAAATAGAATACTCACAATGGACTTTAGTCTCACCTCATTCTTACAAACTCTTTTTTTTTGTAATTCAATTACGATTTACAGAATAGTCACTGTAATTAAACTTTTAATTAAAATCTGCAATTTACAAGTACTACCATGATGCTTGACCTAATTTAAAACAAAAAACATCTTTCCTATTTCCTTTTTATTTTGAGCTGACAGATTTTATAATTCACTCATTTAAAAAATGTATAAATTAAAAATGGCATGAAAGACATCATCAGACTTTTCTCTTTACTGAAATAAAAAATGAAAACCAAACTAAGGAAAGTGAAATCACACTGACATGTGATCTAGTTTTACTCACTAAAGAGAAAAACATTCTTTAACCAAAATACATTAAAATGGCCTTTCCAAAACTGAAAACAATCATAAACATTTACAGGGCAAAGTTCATAATTCAAAACAAATCTCAAGAAGAGAGATATAAAATTACAAAACGTCCCTGTTGGCGTTTGTGTGGCTCTCACACTTTGATTCGATGAACCCGTTTCCCTGTTGTTGTGGCTTCGGTTCAATCTGTGCTGGTTTGGCAGTAGTCCTGCTGGAGGGGGATGTGAGATATGAACCCTTCAGACCCCAAACCCACAGATAAACCCCTTCAGGCATGAACTGATGATCAAATCAAAACACTTCATAGTTCACATAAACGCAAACCTGTGTCTTCATTTGCCCTCCCAGGCATCTTCACGCTGCTTAGCAGCCAAACACTTTTGTTCTAATGAGAAAACAGATTAAATAAATCCCTGTTTTTTACCAGTCTAGCAAAATACGAAGCTGTGAATAGTTATGTCACCTTTTGCCTGCCGTAGTTTGTTCCTCTCGGCCTCTCGCTCTTCTCTGGTCTGATTACTCTTCACACCCAGAGCCCCGATCACCAGGCGGCGTGCCAGAGCCGCACTCGTCTGAGGACGCTCTTTAGCCGGCAGCAGATAATCTACAGAGACAGTCAGGTTTGGAGGGGGAAAAAATATTAAACAAGTCTGGATTTATGAATTAATTTGTGATGAATGCACAAAACAGTCTCATAATAGATAAAACATGAGTGAATAAGAGAGAGCAGGAGTACCGGAGCAGCTGCGTGCTTTGGCTTTAGTGGCGTTTGATGATTTGGAGAGAGGCCTGACCTTCATCATGGGGTTCTTCATCCTCAGAGCATCACGAGCTACACAAACACAAACAAGAAAAGGGCGAGGTTTCTCATTTTTGGTGGCTCATCGATATTATTCTGGACGGTTTCTGGATCTAAAATTGGTAACGACACCTAATACAGCTCCTCTCAGTACATTTCTAATCTTCAAACTCTTTGGTTTCTTTTTCACAGTACTTCTGCAGACAATTTCAGGTCCTCAAACACGTCACTGAAGTTAAAACCATCATGCTATTTTCCTCCAGGTCAACCAGCTATTGATTCCAGGGATCTTATAGGCAGCATACAGCCATTCACAACATCTGGAAAACACACTGACCTGCGATGGGACTGGAGAACAAACCGAGGACATGCATGTCATCAATCCACTTGATGTCAAACCCCTTCTGCCTGAAAACACACGCGATTATTTCAATCATTTAATAACACATCGGCATTTATATGGTTCTCAGATGTCAGTCAATGGTTACATGACATGTAAGTTAACCAGATCAAATTTTTCATATCTTTTAATTTTTATGCAAATTGCAAATAAACATTACCAGTTGCAATACAAATATTTATGCCATAAATTCTTCACTTTCGACGTTCAACCTTTTATTTTGGCTGCTTTCTCAGAAAAATGAAAATGATGGATAGTGGACTATTTGAGCCGGAATCAATGTTTGAAAGTTAAAAGACATTAATGATGGACTTGTTTCTTACAAACACAGCTTTTTTCCATTGCTACGCAAGTGATGTAATGCTAAATTTCTCCAAATCTGTTCTGATGAAGAAACAAACTCATCCACAACTTGGAGAGTAAATTTTCATCAAATTTTCATTTTTGGGTAAACTATCCCTTTCATTTAATCACAGCCTTTGATTTGATAAGACATGTCATTATTTCAGTTTTAGCTTGATTAATTGCAAGGCCCCATTTATTAAATGGTGGTTCGATTTAATCAGTTATTATCTTTTCATCAACCCCTGTTTGGGGAGCACTACTGAGACGATTCATGATCAGAGCTTCACACACTGGAACGAGCTGAAGGATCTGATCAAGTCCTCCGTCTTGAACTCAGGCAGGAAATCGTAAATCTCCACGATGTGTGACAGCTCATCGTCCCGAAGCTCCACCTCCTCTTCCTCCTCCGGCATCCAATTATAGTTGTCGAAGCGCGCCTCCTGTATAGATGACTTCTTGCGGCCCTCCGTAAGAGACATCTGAAACAGGAAGAAGAATCAAACATGGGCACAAACCCCGGCTAATGCATCTCAGTTCATTATGTCATCATTAAAGGGACAGCTCACTCAAAAATGAGAGAAGGGATTGAATCGTCTTTGTAACTCTTACCTCCTCCACTAAATGTGGGTCAAGACAGTCACCATCATCATTAAACAAAGAATCCCAGTTCTCCCCTTCATCCTCCTTCTCTGGCACCCCATCATGTTCTAGTGCGCTCCCCGTGTCCTCTGGTGTGTTCATAGTTCTGGATACATTGTCCGTATCATCTCTAGACTCCTCCTCTTTTTCTGTGTGCATGTTTAGGTTTTCTTTATCTCCCTCCTCCCGCCCCCCGTCTTCCTGCTTTACCTCTCCGTTTGGAGTATCTGTCGCTTTGGCTTTATCCTTCTTGTTCTTGCGGGCCTTGTCAGTGTACCGGGGCCTGGGTCTGGATTTCTTGTCACCATCTGTCTGAGGCTTCTCCATTTTCTCGGCCTGTTTCTTGGGCACGTAGATTTCCATGGTGGGCTTTTTCGTTCGGGCCGGAGCAGCCGCATTGGGCCCCTCGTCTGGCTGAGCTGCTTCAGTCTCCATAGGGATCTGTGTAAAGAAAGTGTAATGAGGACAAATGCTGTTTTTAGAATAGCATACGACCACACTGTTAGAAGTGTCCATGTAAATGGCCTGCATTTATATAATATAATTTGCCCTTTCATTTCCAGTGTGTTACACAGATAGGGCATTATACATGTTGTGATTTTACAACATCATTTTTTGACTCATTATTTAAATCCGTCGTTTTCATTATTTAAAACTGATATTTCTGGACGATGTTGGATGAACAACGCACAATAATTTTAATTTACAAGATAATAAACGACAAATCAAATCAAATGACAACAATGTAGCATACTACTGTTTGAAATACACTCTCTGTTTTAAAAATAGTAAGCTTTCATAACACAAACACATATTTAATGACCGTGACACCATTTAGAAACCCGACATATCTTTTCAAAACAACTACCAAGTACTGACAGTAACATCAAAATCTTCTGGGATAGTATGTTACGATGTAAAAATCAACATTTGTAGAGGAAATTATTCTAAGTTTTCTTCTACTTACATCTCAATATTTTTCAGTTCGCCGAAACGTTGAAACCATAACCGGATGTTTGGAGACGTACGGACGACCTGACGTCACGACCGGAAAGCCTATTATGGGAGTTGTAGTTTAATAGTGTAGTTTAGATGCGAAGCCGACATCTATCCAAAGTATCTATAGTAAACGTTTTATCATTCAACTGCGAAAAGAACTATCTTAATCATTTAAATCAACGCCAAGTATAATACGTTACAAGTACTTGTGATAACTTTTTCAGTAACAAATGCTGCACTACTATTATTCACAACAAACATTACAATTATTTATAAACAATACATGCGAACCTGATTCTTTTATGTAATAAATAATAAAATAAACTGTATTATTTTAGCCAATTAAATTCATTCAAGGTTATTTGTTTGAGTTTGTTAGGGACGTAACGCATCTGCATGCTGAACCGCGCGTCGTTAACGCCCTCTTTTCTCTTGCGGGCCTGTGATTGGTCAGACCGCCACAGTATTTAAAATACTCGACAGTGATTGGTCAGTCGCTTACACAAGCGCTTGTGTAAGGCGGCTGCATTGAAGTTGTGTAAAGAGCGAATATACGCCGTATAAAACAGAAATCACACATCATTTTTCCAAGCTTTTGAGTCAAGCCACGTGCTGGAAACTCTGAGAGCGTGAGTATCCACTATAATCCAGCCCAGTCAGCGCGACAGGTGGATATGACACATTATTATTTACTTCTAAAGCTAAAATAACAGCTCTCTCTGTTGAGGTGATGATGACTTACAAATGCATGAACAATTCTGTCCTGTCATGTCGCTTTGGTTTGCTTAGTTCTGCTCTGAAAGTCTCTTTCGTTTGTTTTCTTTAATGCAAAACATCATATTTGTTCTGTTTTGCATCCTCGCCACACTTTCCTTCCTTTCAGTTTAATTGAAATATAATTGCATGATCTTATTTATGTTTTCATATCCATATGCTGTGTTAGCAATGCCACAAGTGCTTTTCGCATGCACCTATTGCATGATTATGAATCATAAGAATGAATACTGCTGTCAGTTTGCACTCTGTGATGAACACTGTTTGATTGACAGGTGGAGATGAGGATGTGGTGGGCGTGTCTTCTCGGTTTGGCTCTGTCAGCTCTCTCTCAAGCTCAGCCCATGTTCTCTGTCTCCACGGATACGGTTCTGCCTCCAGATGCCCTTCACAACCCCACCCAACGGAATTATGGGATGGCGGAGATGGAGACGGGCATCTGGAGGTGGTGGTGGCTGGGTAAAGAAACTCCAGCATAACCTGACTTGTTATTATTAAATAAAATTAAATGTATGAATATATATACAGTGGTGTGAAAAAGTGTTGGCCCCCTTCCTGATTTCTTATTTTTTTGCATGTTTGTCACACTTTAATGTTTCAGATCATCAAACAAATTTAAATATTAGTCAAAGATAACACAGGTGTGATAAACCACAGTTTTAACAGGGGGGCAAACACTTCTTGTATGCCATGTAGTTTGGGATTTTGTTTTCCCTTAATAATAAAAACCTTCATTTAAAAACTGCATGTTGTGTTTACTTGTGTTATCTTTGACTAATATTTAAATTTGTTTGATGATCTGAAACATTAAAGTGTGACAAACATGCAAAAAAATAAGAAATCAGGAAGGGGGCCAACACTTTTTCACACCACTGTATGCATATGTACTCGCTATTTAAATCTGTCTAAAAGTATGACATTGGGATGAGACAAAGTTGGGAGAAAAATGCAAAATAATTTTTATAAATAGAAATAGATAAAACTTAAATGAAAAGATAAAGACATTTATACTTAATATTTTCTACACACAATAAAGGTTGAGGATTTAAACAAGTTACAATCTTCAGGGTTTGAATGTGAAGAATTTAAAACATTTATATTGTAACTTGTCTTAGTTAAATCACGGTGGATAAATATAACAAAATAATCACAAAAAATAGCCAAAAATGTTAAAAAATTATAAATTGAACAGAGTAACAAAAAGGTAATTATTTTTTCTGAAAGGTAATCCTGGACCACAAAACCAGTCATAAGGGTCAATTTTTTTGAAATTGAGATTTATGCATCATCTGAAAGCTGAATAAATAAGCTTTCCATTGATGTATGGTTTGTTAGGATAGGACAATATTTGGCCGAGATACAACTATTTGAAAATCTGGAATCTGAGGGTGCAAAAAAATCTAAATATTGAGAAAATCATCTTTAAAGTTGTCCAAATGAAGTTCTTAGCAATGCATATTACTAATCAAAAATTAAGTTTTGATATATTTACAGTAGGACATTTACAAAGTATCTTCATGGAACATGATCTTTACTTAATATCCTAATGATTTTTGGCATAAAAGAAAAATCTATAATTTTGACCCATACAATGTATTTTTGGCTACTGCTACAAATATACCCCAGCGACTTAAGACTGCTTTTGTGCTCCAGGGTCACACATAGCCTCTTGGGCTATAAAGGTAATAATCTTGAAGACCATTAATATTTTTCGGTTCTTGACAGGTTTGAGGATTGTCGCCCATTAAAGCTTTTGTTGTTTGTCCATTGTCAGGTATAACGGCCCAAACCCGGTTCTGAAGTATGACCGTAACGTTACCCAAAACAAGCTCGTGAACACTGCAGTGGATGACAGCGGTTCTCCTTACTACGCCCGGAGAGACCCGTGGGGAAACGCCATCAGAGAAACATCTACTTCCTCAACACCAGTGTTGCCAGACGTATGATAATGATCATATTTGTACCATAATTTTGACCTCTGTACGATGTATGATCAATAATAGCGTAATGTACGATAATTTCAGATTTTTGTGACACCAAATGATAGTCATTGTAATCATAGGGCTTCTATACTCTTTGATATAGCTGTGTGGATCCTACTGTACGTGCACCTTCATGATTGTGAGGAGCCTTGAACGTGTTTCGCATGTCTTTCATCTCATCTCATGTCTTCTCGACCAATCATCGTGGAGAAAGACTCTCTCTCATGAGCACAAGTTAACGTTCCTGCCGCACTTAGGTCAGTTTTTTTTTTCAAAGCTGAAGTCGATAGTTTAGCAATAAAGTATTGAAAATGAGTGCTGAAAAGGATAAATAGCTGTATTCTGAACGTTTGACTTGTGTACGATCATTTTCTTCCAAATACGATAATTTTGAACTTCTGGTACGATACTTGGACATTTCCAATCTGGCAACACTGCCCAACAACGCCTTCTCAGGTGCGCAGAAAAACCGTGTCGTGGTGACAAATAGACCCGCAAAACATACACTAGCTAAGCCAAATGAAACTCTTTAAAGGTCGGGCGACTTATGCCGACAAACTTCAAGTTCCGTAACGGTCGCTTCGAGCAGTATCTAATTTTCAGAGAAAGTTGCTAAAGGAAGGTTGATTTGTTGCTAAAAGTTGCTAAATGACGTTGTGATGTCATTGGTATGCTACACTCTAAGAAAAGTCTGTAAAAATAAGGCACAATCTACTATGTTAATATGAAAGAATTTTCCATAATGTTTTTTACCTGCATTTTAAATTACGCATTGTGTTTTCGGGTTACAATGGATATTGGATAATGGATAATGTCCTGAAAGATTTTCCATTTTTCTTACAGTGTACTAACTGATCAACAATCGCAAGTACAAGCTACTAACAAAGTGCATCATAAATTAACAATTATTCAATTATCAAATTATTCAATTATTATTATTAAATTGAACAATTGCAAATAGCAAAAACTCAATTCACGTGATGTGTGTACTGCTAGGCATCTGTGGTTTCCTCTTTTTGTGTAATTTGGATGAAGCCGCCAGTGATGTTGAGAAAGGCGTCATTGCTCTGTCTGATGTTGCACCACAGGTCAACGTCAATAAGTACAACAGGTCAGAGAGAGACCAAAAGACATGTTTGTTTATAGATCTAAAACTTTCAAAGGTTTGGGGTTGGTAAGATTTGTTAATGTTTCTGATATAAGTCTCTTCTGCTCACCAAGGCTGCATTTATTTGATCAAAACTACAATAACAATTCTAAAATATTATTACTATGTCTTCTATTTGAATATATTTTAAACTGTATTTTATTGCTGTGATCAAAGCTGAATTTTCAGCATCATTACTCCAGTCTTCAGTGTCACATGATCTTCAGAAATCACTCTAATATGCTGATTTGCTCTTTAAATAACATTTCTGATTATTATCAATGCTGAAAACAGTTGTGCTGCTTCATATTTTTGTGGAAATTGTGATAAATTTTGTTCAGTATGCTTTGATGAATAGAAAGGTAAAAGAACAGCATTTATTTAAAACACAAATCTTTCATAACATTATAAATGTCTTTACTGTCACTTTAGATCAATTGAATGCCTCCAATATGCTGAATAAAAGTATTAATTTATTTCTAAAAACCCAAACTTTTTTAACGTTAGTGTAACTTTTTGAATCTTGTTTTGGAATATTAATATTATAAAAGTTAAAAATCCAATGTTTTTTATAAGATGGTCGTGGTGTAGTTATCGGGCCAATCCTCAGCGAACAGACATTTTTTGCATTTTACACCCCAATCTATATTACAGTCCTGATTTCTAATCCTCAGCCAGTCTTGTGTTTATGGTTTGATGGCAGGAGTGGAGGACAGATATCAGCGATGTGTGAGAGAGGTGTGGCGCTGGCAGACTTTAACGGCGATCGAAAGACAGACATTGTTTACGGCAACTGGAACGGTTAGGTATGATCAGTTTATATACATCAGATCATTTAAAAGTGAATTCAGTCACTTTATTAGTTTTATACCTGACTTATTTTGTATTAGTGTAGGAAAAGCTGCTTTATTCTACATACACTACCGTTCAAAAGTTTGGGGTCAGTAGGATTTCATTTGAAAGAAATTAATACTTTTATTCAACAAGGATGCATTGAATTGAGTAAAGACATCTAAAATGTTAATTTAAATGCAAAAATGTTTCTTGAGCAGCAACTCAACATATTAGAATGATTTCTGAAGATCATGTGACACTGAAGACTGGAGTAATGATGCTGGAAATCCAGCTTTGATCACAGGAATAAATTACATTTTAACATATATGAAAATAGAAAACAGAAAACAGTTTTAAATTGTAATAATATTTCACAATATTAGTTCTTACTGTACTTTTGATAAAATAAAAGCATCCTGGGTGAGCAGAAGAGACTTCTTTCAAAAACATTTTAAAAAATCTTATAAACTCCAAACTTTTGTCCATCTGCAAGGTTGTTTCATTTTGACATCATCTCATTAAATCAGAGCTGTGCTGTCAGATGTCTGACACTGAACCACTTATTCAACAAACTCAACCACAGATGCAAAACCTTCAGTCTTCTGCTTTACTCTAATGCTGTTGAAACCGAACACTTGTACTGTTACTCATCACATTTCAAGGGAAAAATTTAGTCTGCACTAACTAAATCTGAAAATGTTTACATCAAACACTTGTTGCTGTTCCTTTTATTTTCTGCTTTTTTTTTTTTTTTTAGAACTTGTTTACTTAAAATTGTAATTGTGTGCACTACAAATAAAGCAATTGTGAGGGATTGTGCAGTCTGTGAGTGTGATTCTGTCTTCATTCCCTTCATGCCGTGTGTCCTCACACTCGTCCGGTGTGCACCAACACATACGGACACTATAAAGAGATTTGTTGAGGGCTACAAGCCCAGCAGAGACGGCCGAGCGTGTGTGGGTGAGTGCAGGTGATGTTTGGCTCTAAGTTTAGGAAGCTAAAATATACCATGAATGAATGTTGCAAGACAGATGCAGTTAAAACAAAATTTACACTGCAAAAAAAGTGGTGTAGGATTTGACTGTCACTCCCTTTTTTGAGCACTTAATTTAAATGATTGTAATTCATGAATGCTGTAATGGGCTACAGACCTATGGTTGGTCTCTATAAAAAAGACACTCGGATTATTGCTGAAGTGAACGCACTTTTATTTTAAAAAATTGTCTTAATGACGAAAATCAATATTAAGCTTATTTGACATTAAACATAATCTGTTGAATTAATATTCAATTTATTGTAAACAATATTATAAAATAAATGTTAAATATTTCATTAACATTTTGAATTATAATATTTAGCTTATGACATTCAAAATAATTGCTGAATTGATCAAGTTATTATAAAAAAATATTTTATTTTATTCTAAAATAAAAAATTATATTATATTGATATCTAAATAACTTAATGCCAAAAAACAATATTCTGTTTTACCTAAAAGCATATCTGTTAAGTCAAGTGGAAAATGCCTGAATAAAACCCTGTGCAAAAATACATTTAAATAAAATGTGGATTAAATAAAGAAAGGCAGAACTCGTTCGTTTGGCCATCAATGTTCATTTATTTTGCTACACAACAGAAAAAGCACTCTCAGCTTCTTTTTCTCTTCATCTTTGCATACAGGAGCCAAAGGTTCTCAGTAAGAAATGGAAGCTCGTGATGAAGGACCATGTGAGGAAGCTCTGGCTCTTCAGTCACGTCATCAGGACTCGTTTCTGCTCTGACAGTGCGTTATGAGTACAAAGCATGAACGATTAGCACACTATGAAATAAAGCAACACAATAAAGTCATAAATAGTACCCGTGGAATAAGATGGCAGTGTCTGGGGCCTGTATAAAATATCTGGGGTCAGATTTCAGTCCTTGACATCTACCTAGTCTAAAATCTGTCTTCTGTTTAATAGTTAGAGTAAAAGTGCTCATACTCAAAACAAAAGGGTGAAAAATCATGAAGATGGAAGACTGTCGTGTGCCGTTCGGCAGCTACTTCACAGGCGTTTGTGAGTGAGATTGCATATTACAGTGACAGAAGCTCATGTGCGCTTTACCCAGGATGCTACAGCGAGTGACTGGAGGATGTGCAACGGCTGCAGGAGGGTGGAGGTAATGACTGAGGTAATGACGCGCTGCTGTTCCAGCAGCTGATGTGTCTCGTGGAGGCAGTGCATGTCAGGTGTGTTTGTGTTTGACGATGCTGAGCGGTCGCTGTCGTGTCGTGTTTGTTCAGCGGCCGTCAGTATGAAGGCGTCACACGTGTGCGAGTGTGTGTGTGTGTGTGTGTGTGAGTGTGTGTGAGTGAGTGTGTGTGTGTCTGAGTGTGTGTGTGTGTGTGTGTGTGTGAATCAGCGTCCGCTGCTGCTGGTTGTGCTGCTTCCTGAGCTTGAACCACTGGAGCCACGATCCTCGTACACACTGATCTCAATCTAACACACGCGGGTTAAGGGAGCAACATCACAGCATTACACAACCTTACATGCACAAACTAGTTAAAGAAATAACTTTACACATACATGCTATTACTAGAAAACTTGCCATGATTATGATTAAAATTAACGTCCAATTCAGTGTTATTTTAATATCATTGATATGCATTGATATTATAGTTTTTGTTCATATTTTGAATTAGATTTTATTTTTTACATTTTCTGTTTTCGTTCAAATTTTATATAAAGTTTTAGAAATGTTGTTGTGTGTTTCTGGTATTGTTATAGTTTTTTTTATTATAGTTTTACTAAGTTTATTATGTTTTTTATATTTTATTTCAGTTAATGGTTATTTAATGGTTAGTTAAATGTTTTTTAGATTTAGTTTTAGTTAATGATAATAACCCTGGTCCAATTACTGTTATAAAGCAATAAAGGCACAAATCTGACTAATTATTTATAATGAGAGCTTCTTGGATATTTTATATAAACTATTTTCTCACATTAAATTAACATAACATGAAAAATAGCTAGTTTTAAACACATCAAATGTCTGTTTGACCCCTTAAAATGGTGATTTTGATCTGTCCTACATTAGAAGTCTTGGCCCTCTTGACTTTTTAAACAATTAAAATCATAAAACAACATAATTTGACTTTCAACATAATCTTTTGAATTGCTATTCTATGTATTACAAAAAAGTAATTATAAAAATATTAAATATTACATTAATATCTTAATTTATTGATGAAAACTATATTTAGGTTATTTGACATTCATCATAATCTGTTGAATCTATATTCAATTGCGGGAAAAAACAATTTTATCATAAAAAGAATAAAATAATATAATAAAATTATGAATTTATAAATATTATATAGTGTTATCAAGAAATTAATTTAATTACAAAAACAATATTTAGCTTATTTGAGATTTTACATAATCTGTTGAATTTACATTTAATGCATTGTAATATATATGTATATATATATATATATATGTGGGTTTAAAAAATACATCTTAAATATATTTATCTTTAATTACGAAGTATAATAATATAATAAAACTATATTGAGTTTATTTGTCATTCAACATAATCTGTTAAAGTAATTTAAAGTAAAAAAACGTAATTAATATATACGTCAAAAACAATATTTGGCTACATCCCACATTTTGATCACAATCTTGTCTTTAGGGTTCCAATAACTGCAAAACTCACACAAAATGAAGACATAATAAAAGAGTTTATGCAACATCCTAAGGTGGACTAACAACTGCTTCTGAAGAACAAGCAGCTTCCACTGACCACATACACTCACATACACACACAGAAGTTTGCAGACTCTGTAAGGATACGACTCTCATGCCTCTCTGTATGGGGTCTGTGATGAGGAGACCTCGAGGACCGTAGACCTTCTCATTCTGCTCCTGAATGTACCGCGAGATCTTCTTCAGCACCTGCACACACACACATGCATACTTTTGACCAGCAGCATCATTTTTATTCGCCATAGTTTGCAGAACCAACACATAAAGCGACCCTTGATAGTACGTTTTATTTTTACCTGCCATTTACAGGGTGGGTTTATCTGAATCTGATAACATACCTTCTCATAGCGTGTCTCGATGCACAGGAATATGAGGTAAATTGTGAGGCAGGCCAGACATCCCTCGAGGTAGGACTGGCCTCCGATCTTCTCCGCCTCTGCATAGTAATTATTCAGCGTCTTCACTGTGTCCTCAAACAGTGTCCTCTCAATCTGACCAATCAGGTGCAAGGACAAGATGAGTCAGGTATGGGGTCTGTGATGAGGAGACCTCGAGGAGCGTAGACCTTCTCATTCTGCTCCTGAATGTACCGCGAGATATTCTTCAGCACCTGCACACACACACATGCATACTTTTGACCAGCAGCATCATTTTTATTCGCCATAGTTTGCAGAACCAACACATAAAGCGACCCATGATAGTACGTTTTATTTTTACCTGCCATTTACAGGGTGGGTTTATCTGAATCTGATAACATACCTTCTCATAGCGTGTCTCGATGCACAGGAATATGAGGTAAATTGTGAGGCAGGCCAGACATCCCTCGAGGTAGGACTGGCCTCCGATCTTCTCCGCCTCTGCATAGTAATTATTCAGCGTCTTCACTGTGTCCTCAAACAGTGTCCTCTCAATCTGACCAATCAGGTGCAAGGACAAGATGAGTCAGCCAATCAGAGAGCACCAGTGAGTTCACACAAGGACATTATATGGCAGAAACTACTGGGTTTGAACATTGTAAAGACATCAGTCTCAGGCCGGACATCACATGATAAAACTTGATTGCATCAAAATAATTAAACAGATTGTGAGAATGACACTGAAATCTCTACATGTTGAACTCCCTTTGCCTTTACTGGCTGTCTGTAACATGATCTTACACCTTTAAACAGCTCTATTAGCAGCTCATTATGTGTGGAGTTGCGCACTCAGCAGTGCTTTTGCTGAAGAGCAGAGTTTCTCTGAGTGAAGAGCCTTTTTCTCGTTCCTCTCCTTTTTACTTGCATTGTGTCTCTTTTGTTCTGCCACACACACACACACACACACACACACACACACACACACTCTTACCCTGCTGTCTAACTCAGAGGGGAACTT